CTTTTTCATTCCGTTTTCGTTGGTCCGGCCTCATTAATTTCATCAAAGGCGGCATTTGATTTTTATTTTTTCATTTATTTATTTTTGTGGCAATAATATATGTTTATTTTTTAATGCTTGTCTTGTATAATTATTATGACGATAATTGTAATGTTGACGATAGTAATAATGGTAATAGTATTATTATTATCATTATTTATAATGATAATAACAATAACAATAATGTTAATGATCATTATGATGATGATGATAATTAATTAATAATAATGATGGTAATGATAGTAATTATAGTTAACATTATTATTATTATTATTATTATTACCAAGATAATGGTAATAATAGTAATAGTAATGGTAATAGTAATAATAATGATAATACATGACAATAATAATAACAATGACGATACTGATGATAATAACAATGACAATAATGATAATAATAATAATAACAATAACATCGTTCTCATTATCATTATAGTTATTATTATCATCATCATATCATGTCATGATTATGGGCATTACTATAATTACCAAAAAAAAATATATGACTAGGAGTTAAATATCCTGAAGGACGTGATGGACTGATATATTTCAGATGAAGATGTGGTCTATTTCGCTGAAATATTCTCATTCATGACTTTTTTTTTAATACGTTTAACGAAGAACAATGTTCACTATTATTATCATCCTTGTTATTATTGTTATTGTTGTTTTTTTTATTACCATCGTCATTATTATTAGCATTGTTATTGTTTCTGCTACTACTATTACTACCACTACTACTACTATTACTATTACTATTACTACCACTACTACTACTATTACTATTACTATTACTATTACTACCACTACTACTACTATTACTATTACTATTACTACTTCTACTACTACTACTACTACTATTACTATTACTATTACTACTACTACTACTACTATTAGTACTACTTCTACTACTACTACTACTACTATTACTATTACTATTGCTACTACTACTACTACTACTATTAGTACTACTTCTACTACTACTACTACTACTACTATTACTATTACTATTACTACTACTATTACTACTACTTCTACTACTCCTACTACTACTACTACTACTAGTACTATTCTATTACTATTACTACTAGTACTGCTGCTATTGTGACATTCTTATGATTTCATTTAATCACTTACTGACCAATCTCACTTTCCGTTTCAGGCCTGAATCCACTTATGACATATGACAGAGGCTTCCACAGGACCATAAAACACCATGAAGATCGACAGGAGCATGATACCTATGAAGATGCACTACATATTAAGATACGCTGGTTAGATTTTCGTGTTTTTATGTGTGTGTGGGTGTGTGGGTGTGGGTGGGTGTGGGGGGTGGGTGTGTGGGGGGGGGGTGAGTGTGTGTGTGTGTGGGTGGGTGTGTGTGTGTGTGTGTGTGTGTGTGTGTGTGTGTGTGTGTGTGTGTGTGTGTGTGTGTGTGTGTGTGTGTGTGTGTGTGGATGGGTGGGTGGGTGGGTGGATGGGTGTGTGTGTGTGTGTGTTTATGTTGTTGCAATAGAGTGAGATATTGCATGTTATGTTGGTATACTTGTGTGTGACTCTGCATCGGCATGTGTATGTTTTTGCGTTGTGTGTGTGTGTGTGTGTGTGTTTCTCTCTCTTTTATCAAAAGAGGAAAGTCCTCTCCTGTAGGAAGCTTCCAAAACCAGTGTTGTAATTTAAGCGATTTTTCCCGCTAGATCTTAAGAGCTTTTTTCTTTCTTTCTTTTTTTTTTTTTTTAGTTATGATCTAGCGGGAAAAAAAAGACTTGAAGGTTTACTCCAATTTTAAGCGATTTTTTTTTAAACCTCTTTTTTTTTTTAAGCGTGAGTTTTTGACCCATGTTTCACGCAGGTCTTTTAAGTCCAGTCTAGCGGAAATATCAGTAATCGAAAACCGTTCAAACCTAAGGCGACGTAGTTGTAACTTGATCATTTGTTATAAATATCTAAACAAGTATAGTCCATGAGAAATCGTAATTTAAAACACGTTTGAAACACGTTTTGATTTGAGATCTGTGATAATATTAATAATGATGATAATGATAATACCAGGAATGATAGTAATAATGATGATAATGATGATAGTAATGATAGTAATTATGATGATGATAACAATACCAATAATAACAATACTAAAAACAATAATAATAATAATGATAATAATGGAGTCAAGACTGGCGGTTGACAGACTGTAATTACAAAATCATTTTGGGATTTAAAGAATCATGCAGATATATCGATATAATACTGCAGACCAGATTTTCTAATTTGACTCAAAAATATGTAATAATAATATCAATGATGATAATAATATAATAATAATAATAGTAATGATAATAATAGTAATGATAATAATAATAATGATAATAATAATAATAATAATAATGATAATAATAATAATAATAATAATAATAATAATAATAATAATAATAATAATAATAATAATAATAATAATAATAATAATAATAATAATAATAATAACAACAACAACAACAACAATAATAACAACAACAACAATAATAATAATAACAGTGATGAAAGGAATAATTGCAGAAAAACAATTAACTAGTGAATAAACAAGTAATATTCGACTATGAAATGAAAACTTATCAACACTGCAGTACCAAGAATCCCACTATTAAAAAAATGAATAAATAAATGAAAAAATAAAAATAGAAAATGCATCTCATATCTAAACCACGTTGTTAACCCTTAACCACTTCTCCCCTCGTTTATTAAAAGCCGTTTTAATTATTTTTTCTTCTTCTTCTTCTTCTCTTCCCTTTTCTCTCAGGCACTGGTCCCCTCATGCCCTTCCTGACGGTGATCGCTCGACAGAAGGGCATGGCGAATGAGGTAGTTAGTCTCATCTGGACGGTGATGCCCTTCGCTAGGTGGGTATTGGGGCATAGGGAGGGAGGGAGGGAGGGAGAGGGAGGGTGGGCGGGTGGGTGGGAGGGAGGAAGGGAGGAAGGAGGAAGGGAGGGAGGGTGGGAAGGGAGGAAGGTGGGTGGGTAGGAGGAAGGGAGGGAAGAGGGAAGGGAGGAAGGGGGAGGGAGGGAGGAAGGGAGGAGGGTGGGTGGGTGGGAAGGAAGGAAGGAGGGAGGGTGGGAAGGGAGGAAGGGGGGAGGGTGAGAGGGAGGGTGGGTGGGAGGGAGAGGAGGAAGGAAGGGGGGAGGGAAGGAGGGAGGGAAGGTGGGTAGGAGGGAAGAAGGGAAGGGGGGAGGGAGGGAGGGAGGGAAGGTGGGTTGGAGGGAAGAAGGGAAGGGGGAAGGGAGGAAGGAGGGTGGGTAGGTGGATGGGAAGGAAGGGAGGGAGGGTGGGAGGGAAGGAAAGAGGGAGGAAAGGAGGGAATGAGAAAGAGAGAGAGGTGGATGGTACAAGAGAACCACATATAGATATATATAGAAATAACCATTTAATCACGCAGTAGGTTGATAGACAATTGTATTACACAAAAGAGAAATATATTTATAAACATTATTATACAGATATGGACACGGCTAGATAAATAGATAGAACTTTTGGTAATGCAGTAGATTATGAATAAACCGTAAAACAAATAACCTTGACAAATAACAAAATAAATACAAAACAAGAACACTATTTCAGTTTAAAAGAAATAGAAAAAAAACAATAAAATCTGTATATAAAAGCGAGAGAAGGAATCGATTGATATAAATGAAGAAATTACTGATATATATATATTTTTTTCTCTCGTTGCATATCAATAAAGGATAAAGTCAGTAAAAACCGTAGCGAAAAATGAAAGAAGGAAATGAACGAAATAATCGATTTTTCTTTTCTTTTCTTTTCGTTTTTCGTCAGTAAAAGCAGTAGCGAAAAATGAAAGAAGGAAAGGAACGAAATAATCGATTTTTCTTTTCTTTTCTTTTCGTTTTTCGTCAGTAAAAGCAGTAGCGAAAAATGAAAGAAGGAAATGAACGAAATAATCGATTTTTCTTTTCTTTTCTTTTCGTTTTTCGTCAGTAAAAGCAGTAGCGAAAAATGAAAGAAGGAAATGAACGAAATAATCGACTTTTCTTTTCTTTTCTTTTCGTTTTTCGTCAGTAAAAGCAGTAGCGAAAAATGAAAGAAGGAAATGAACGAAATAATCGACTTTTCTTTTCTTTTCTTTTCGTTTTTCGTCAGTAAAAGCAGTAGCGAAAAATAAAAGAAGGAAATGAACGAAATAATCGATTTTTCCTTTCTTTTCTTTTCGTTTTTCTTTTATTTTTTTTTATTTTTTTACTAGTATATTAGTCAAGACGTCAGCAGGAGCTCTGGCTGACTATCTGAGAGCCCACCGTGCCTTTTTCGTGACGTCAGTGATGGTCCTCGGAGGGTCGCTGACGGGGATTTACTGGTGTCCTGACATCACTCCTGACATCGCGAATGACAACGCTCCAAACATGACCAGCGGTCTCATACGTGACAGCACGACTGACATCACTAAGAACATCACCTTTGTCAACATGACTGACATCACTAAGAACAACACTTTTGACGTCAGTAAGAACGCCACCTTTGACGACACGACTGACATCACTAAGAACATCATCTTTGACAACACGGCTGACATCACTAAGAACAGCACTTTTGACATCACCTCTGACATCAGCAACGCCTCGAGGACACATTCCACGACGGGAAAGGAAGACTTCAAGAACTGTGTTGGCGAAGGAGATGTCGCGACGTCGCTGACTCTGGCCGAGGGTGACATCTGCTCGAGGGTGACTAACATCGAGGATCGTAAGTTGCTGTTGTTGTTGTTTTTTTTACTTTTCTTTTCTTTTCTTTTCGTCTTTCGTTTTTTTTTTCGTGTCGATTTGTTGTTGTTGTTGTTTACTTTTTTTTCATTTCTTTCTTTCTTTCTTTCTTTCTTTTTCTTTTACTGTAGCTTTTTACTGTTTTTTTTTCTGCTTTGTGTGTGTGTTTCATCATCACCATCATCATCAT